AGGGCTGAGGGTGACCCCCCCGCTGGTCCTCTCCACCACCACCACGGTGCCCGAGGACCCTCCGGGCGTGTTCCCCTCCGTCCGGCCCACCTCGAGCTCCGTCGCCTGGGCCACCGGAGGCGCGGATTGCGCCGCCCCATCGGACACCACCGTGGCTGTGTCCGGCTGCTCCTGACCTGGCGCGGTCGCAGCCACCTCCACTTGTGACACCGGGGGCTCGACTTGCGGCGTCATGCCCACTGTAGAGGGCGCCACAAGTGCGGGCGGCAGCCCCATTCGCTCCAATGTGGGCAGCGTCGTCACCTCCGCCGCTGTCTGCTCGGTGAACCTCGAGGGCGTTTCTTCTGCCCCGGCGCCTGCTTGACCCACTGAGGGCGCGGGCATCACCGCAGGCGGCACCTGACCGGCCGAAGAGGCCGCAACATCGGCGCCGCTCCTGCCCAAAATAGGAGCGACGTCGGGCAACGGTGTCTGTCCCACCTAAAGGGCAAGGCTCTTCTTGGGCGCCAGCCCCAGAGAGCAGCCCCGTCGCAAGAGTCTGCAAGGGGTAAAAGGCACAAGGTCAAAACAGAAAAATGAAAAGGGAGGAAAAACAAGGGAATCAGTGGCCTACTCTGGCGCCTTTGGGTGGCGGGTACGTTTTGGGGACGAACCCCCGGAACCCTGCTCCAACTCATCTGGGCGGGACCGTTTCGAGCCTGCCCCCTACTCCTAGGCAGGGGGGCTCATCTCCCATGTCCCCGAGGGCGCGGCGACAGGGCCACCCCCCTCCATCGGCTCATGGGGTGCGACAACAGGGCCACCCCCCTCCATCGGCTCATGGGGTGCGACATCAGAGCCGCCCCTCCATCAGCACCTCGGGGCGGCGGCAGATCTGTCTCCTCCCATCCACCGATCCTCCACTGCACCCCGAGCGTGGCGGCGGATCCACCAGCTCCCACCAGACCCAAGGATGGGCCCGGCTCCGCCGACCTCACGGACTCGCTTCCCCCCGTGTGGAACGGAAAGGGTCCCTGCATGGACGGGTGGGCACCTATCAGCGAATCCTCACCCTCTAGGACACCCCAATCCACGCCAGTGGCTGCCTTGTCAAACTCGTCGTCGTCATCACTGCTTGTCTCCTCTCCTCGATCTCGTGCTTGCTGCTTCCGTAGCAGTTCCTTCTTCCTGAGCTCCCTTGTCTTTTTGTCCCACTCGGTCGCAATACGGTTCGCTTTCACCAGGGTCCGATCCTTCGGCAACGGAGCCGGGCTTTCCTTGAAGAATAGTACCCTCGGCTGGTCCCGCCATCCCAAGGTTGGCTTCAGGGGGTCGGAAATTCAAGTGAAAAGGAGTACGGAGAAAGAAAACTTACGAAGTCGATGAACCCCGGTTCCGACCGCATTGGGGGATGCCTCGGCACTGGAAACACAAAATCGAGGACGACTCCAGTGGTGTCCTTCGAAGGCTCCATCGCCTCCTGGATGCGCTGCGCCACTTCGAAGGGAGGGAGCGCTTCATCGACAAGCACCGTCCCTTCAAGCGATGCTCCGGGCACCATCTGGTGTAGGGGGAGCGTGCGCGCCATGAGCGGCGCCACCCTCCTCACGTGGTAGGCGTCGATGATCCCTGATCCCTTCATGCCCCTGTCCTTCAGAGTTCGAAGGGCGGCGAGAAGGTCGTTGATGTTCTTCTTTTCCTTGACCGGGATACCCCACTTCCACGACCCCGGGGCCTCCACGATGAAGCGCCTGGAGAAAACTGGCAAGGGGGCGGCGGTGTCATCCTTGACATAGAACCATTGCGAATGCCACCCCTTGTTGGAGGTCAACAGATGCATTAACGGGTACGCTTCGCCGGTTGTTGCGGAGGTGGATGCCGGCGCATCCCACCGGCGCGTGCAGCTCTTGCTTCTCGACCCGCTTCTTCAGAAGATTGACGGCGAAGAAATGCCGCCACAGGTCAAAGTGGGGACTAATCCCTAAGAACCCCTCGCACAGAGCGACGAACGCCGCAATGTGCTGGATCCTGTTGGGGGCAAGGTACTGCAGCTACACCTGGTAGTAATCCAACAGCCCCCGAAGGAGTTGATGAGTGGGTATGGCGAATCCCCACTCATGGAAGTGAGCGAAGGACACGACATACCCTTCGGGCGGCAACGGCTCGTCCCCATCATCGGGCAGCTGCCACTCCTCGATGGCCGTTAGCGGGCGGAGGAGGCCACGGCGAACGAGGCCCTCCAGGCGCTGAGGGGAGATGTTGGATCTGCACCACGGCTCCATTGAAACGGTGGGAAAGAAGGTGGTTGTGGGTTCGGCGGCGGCTGCGATGCGAATACGAGCTTGCTGGCGGCTGCGATGCGAATACGAGCTTGATGGCGGCTGTGATGCAGGTGCGGAGGCTCAGGTGATTGGCAGCGCAAGCTGTGGATGCGAAGGCGAGGAGGCGAAGTACGGAACCCTAGGGGCAAACCCTGTGGTTTTATAGGGGCGACGGATGCGAGAAGGGCAACCGTCCACCTCGATCTCTAAGCCTACCACGACACACCACCGTGTCACGTCGCGGGATACGCGCCCGCGATCCCTATCCTTTCCCACCAAAATCACGACGAACAGTTCGCCTTCCCCAGGCAGATCGGGACTCTTTTCCCACCAAGGGAATACGGGTCAAAGGACCCTTTCTCCGCCCACCTGGGCCTAGAAATCCAAGGGCCAGCTCGATAGTCTCAACGGCCGTCCCAACGAGGGATGGGCCCGCAAGCGACCAGGACTCAAGGACACGAGCATCAGTAGGGCCTCGACCCACCGTCGAGCCCCGGCCAAGCTGACCCTGGACGAGATCCCCGTGAACGGGATGCCAGGGTTCCCCTAAAAAAACTATCCAGTTGACACAAACCGAATCTCACAGCCTTACCTGCGAAGGGTCCGAAATTACCCCCGGGCGATTCTGCTCAAATCACTCGGGGGCTACACCCGACGGGTGCGCTCGTACGCACCCTCTAGCAAATTGAAATACCCCCCGGGCGATTCTGCCCAAATCACCCGGGGGCTACACCTGTCGGGTGCGCTCGCGCGCACCCTCTGGCGAATTAAACTCTGGCAGGTCAAAAACAACCCGGGTGATTCTGTCCGAATCACCCGGGGGCTCGGGGGCTACTATCGGGGACCTAATACCGGGGTACCCAATGAGGTGGAACTAATGACCATCGAACGTTGACACTTCCGGTCAGACAAGAGCACTACTGCGCTTCTTGCCCGAACGACGAAAGACTGGTTTCGCCTCGCCCAACCACCGAGGGCTAGACTCCGTCTCACCCGATGGCTAAGGGCAGGCTCCGCCTCGCCCGACGTCCGAGGGCGGGCTCCACGTCGCCCGATGGTAAAGGGCTAGACTCCGTCTCACCCGACCCCTGAGGGCGGGCTCCGCCTCGCCCGACGTCCGAGGGCTAGACTCCGCCTCACCCGACGGCGAAGGGCTAGACTCCGTCTCGCCCGACCCCCGAGGGCGGGCCCCGCCTCGCCCGACAACCGCACCCTGATCCTTCATAAAGACGAGCACAGGGTTCGACAGGACATTCGAGTCAACTGTGATATCGAGGGCCATGCCCTGTGCGCCTGCAGGAAGGTACCGTCAGACTACGATGGGACGGGTGCTTTCCGCCCTTTCCATCATAACAGTGCCCGAATAGTGTTGTGGGCGTCGACTTTTGTCCCACAGTGTAGTAGGCGCCGCCTTCAGCCCTCGGGCGCGGATACTAGCACAGGCATACGACAACCACTATGGTCCAAGACAGAACTCACATCATCTACAGTGACGGACGTGTGGTCACTTCCCCGATTACTCCCCGAGGAGTCACGGCTCGGCTCTCCGGCACGCCGCACCATTCGTCGGCATAGGATGGGACGCACCCACTTGCTAAAAGGGGCCAGGGTATGGCCTACGAGGATCAGCAAACACGCCTCCTCTGACATGGTCTGCCATGTTAAAAGCAGGGCAGGCACAGGGAAAAAGGAGGACCCGGCTCCCTCGAAGGACCTTCTATACTTTTGATATTTTCCTCTTTCTTCCACCTGTAACCTCTGCTCCCCCCTTGGTCTATAAAAGGGAGGACAGGCCCCCCCCGCTAAGGGGACCGACTTTTGACGGATCAGTTCAACAGCACATCACGCATACGGCCAAGCAGCGACCAAGCTCTTGGCATCCTTTTAATCATTACTTCAGAGACTTGGGACCTTTCTCTCTCTCGACTGTTTTGTACTCCCTACTACGAATCTTTTTTCGGTACTAATAACACGAGCAGCAGCAGCAGACTGGACGTAGGGACATTTAACCCGAACCAGTATAAACCTCGTGTCCTTTAGTACACCATCCAGATCTAACGCGCAATAATTATAAATTCACTGGTCGGTGTTTGTTCGAAACACCGACACAAACATTCGCAAATTGAAATTAGTAACTTGGAATGGGAAGCCAATTAGCCGAACTAACTTACGGATGTATCACGGCAGCTGGTGGCTGGAAAAAATAATAAATAAATATATGAATAGATAGAGGGGTGAGCCTAACTAAATTAAAATCTATACAAAGCACAACACTTAGGCATACCGTTAAGAGGTCGAAATAACCACTGCTTCTAACTATGATTTTTGCAAGAATGCAAGTCTAGGATGAGCAGCTACACAATTCTAGATAGCAATAGAATTGGTAAACTAACAAGATCAACACCCTAGGGAGAACAAAACGTAACATCTCTATACAAGGAACTGTAAAGAGCACAAGTGAAGCACACGAGAGGATACGCAATACGTCCACGTTGAGTCCTCTTAACGATTATGGGGGCCCGAGGCCCACTGTTTCCAATCGTTGGGCCTGCGCAGCGCACCTCCCGCTGCTCCAGCGCGCAGCTGTAGTGCGAACCCCAATCCCCCGAAACATTTGGTCGAATCTGCCGTGAGATCCGCCCGACTCTCGCTCCGTTCCGGCGCTCTCGGTCGGGTAAGGTTCCGCCTTCCTCCGACGAGATGGCGGGGAAGGGAACCAAGGCCACGGCCGCCAAGTCGGCGGACAAGGACAAGGGGAAGAAGGCTGGCGGCCCCGTCTCGCGCTCCTCCCGCGCCGCACCTCAGGTGAGCTTGATCCCTCCGCTCTGCTCCACACGTTGCCTGCCTGGTCATCCGTGGGTGTTTTAGATTTGGTGTAGATGTTGGTGTGGTGCCACCAACATTTTGCTGTGCGTTCGGGGCCGCGGTCGTTAGATTCGTCTCTTTAATTTCTCCAGGGTTCATGCGATGCGGTTTTGCGGAATTTTGTTAGGGTTTTCGCATGGTTGGTTAGATGTTGGCTATTTTTTTCTCATTCAAGATTTTCGTAGATCTGGAGAAACCCGTGGTATGTGTAAATCGGGTCCTGTGGATGGAATGGTGGTTAGAAGATTGGGTTCATTTCCTTGGCCTGGGAAGGCTCTCTCATTAGTCATGGGTTAGAAGGGTTATTCTTGATTGTTTTGGGATAAGCAGTCAAAAGTTTGTGTGCCACTGCTTGAGATGATGCTAGGGTGCTTTCCACCATTGTCGTTAATTCTCTGACGCTGTTCTATTATTTAGAAGTCAGCTCCGAAGAAAGATGTTTATCAATTGTTCGCCGAGAAGGTTAGGGATAACAAACAACTGGAATCAAGATGGGCAATCATGCAAGAAACCCGTGTGGAGTATTTCCGTGGAAAAGATTTCAATACCTTCATCAAGAATCATCCAGAAGTCAGGGAAATTTTGGGGCCAGATAAGGATTTAGAAGTGGAAGACATTGTTAACACTTTGCTGACCAAGAACCTTGTGATAAGGTGTGATCGAGTTATGAAAACTGTTAGGCCTGGCAAGAAAAAGCTATCATCATGGCCTGCTCATTTGGAGATACATAATGTAAGTGTTATATGCTTCTTATCTTATGGAAAACATAATATATATGTTATATTTTCTGATCCTGTCGTTAAGATTACTTGTTAATACTGTGTGTGCTATATATTCTCCTAAATTTAAACACTGTAAAGGCTACACAGGGGGTATGCCGTTTCCATTTAATCGTCTGTTTATCCCATTTAATTGGACGTTTAGCTCGTTTAGCCTGAATAATGGCTAAATGGTAGGTGAACGACTGTTTACCATTTCGCGTTTAGGATAACACTGCTACTGTTTACCATTTCACGTTTTAGGACAACTTAAAGGCTTCTAAAGCTGCATTGACGTTGCACCACCTAACCTTGTAACTATGATCATGGCAATAAAAATGCATTAGCATAATAACATCCAGATTTTGGATAGTTCAAGTATGCATTATTTGACACCTTTTAGTTGAAACTATGGATGTTTTCAAACTGTATATGACTATATCCTTTTTCAAGGAAAGGTACCCTTTTATGTAAAGGGGCGTTTTCAATGCACCTGAGCAGTTATAAGTAGTTTAGATTTGGAAATTGTCAATAGGTAATTAGACAGCATATAAGCAACGCATAGTGAGAGGTGACTGATAATACTGGCGACATACTGTACTGTAAGTTTAGCTAAGATCCACATTTCAGTAATTCTACATGACAGTTGCATCATTTAAATTTCTTTCTTGATACCATGTAAAATGATAATTTGTTCCACTCTAATTATCTTAACATTTCTGCTTGCTACAATTACTTTGAAATACAGTATGCTAGTCTAACATAATGCAGAAATTTGTCTTTTACCATCTGATTTGTATGATTCTTATAGTTAAATAGGTGTAATTACTATGACAGTAAGAAATATTTTGAATGAGGGAAAATCAGTTAGATTTCAAATCAAATATAAAGTAAATTAAAGAATCACACTTTTTATTTGGTAAAATCCACCATTGCCAACTAATAACTTCTCCACTCTTCTGTCGTTTAAGTTTTCTATTCTAATTAATTCTATCTGTTCCCTCGTTCCCCTCATATTGAAATGAATCGAAATCAGTATGGTATTAATTAGGTCTGACCAAGTGTCTTTGTTGTATTTTGTTTGTCTTTATGGATCGATGTCAAACCTATACTTTGTTAGAGCTCTGGTATGTATAAAGTTTTACTTCTTCTGAATCCTGTGATATTTTCTTTGATAAAGTGAGATTATGCATAACAACTCACTATATAATGTGTTACAGTGTTATTTTCTTCCTGAAGTTTGTTCTTATGCAAGTGGGTTTGATTTGTTCTTGCAGGAACAAGTGTTTACTGAAAATGATGGATTTTTTGCTTGGATGTTTCTGAAAAGGCGGACCTTGTGGCAGACAATTCTTTCATTTGTTTGGCCCCTTTTTGCACTGGCAGTCTGCTTATTTCCAGTTTACCCATACCAATGCAAGATTGTTGTACTGTACTCATGTGCTGGAGCTCTATTTTTCATTGTCTCCATTCTTTTGTGTAAAATCTCTCACCCTCCCTCTCCAACTGTATTTTCATTCACGACAAACATTATGCTTCAGTAGACACTTTCAATATCACATTTTAATCATTAGGCATATTTGAGTAACGAGCTACAATTTTTTGCCTGTGTAGTGTTGTGCAGACTTCCAGTGTCACACCCTAGTCATATGCATCTTTGATTAATGAATATTGTTTACCGTTCAATAAACAAACAAACAAAGATTCATACTTCAATTAAAAACTGCACAGCATGCTAGGTGGATAGGTACTATTTCCCTCCAGCCTCCACCAAACTTTCTGAGTTTGGTTGTTGTTGAAGTGATGTTTGCACAGCACTTTTAGTGTGGAACTCACACTTCAGTGCATCAATGTGAATGTTTAAAGAAAAAGAAAAACTGGGGGGAAGGATTCAGACTCAAGACTTTTGGTGTGTGGGAACCATGGGCTCAACACTAGAGTAGCATTCACTTGTTTCATTACAATAAATTATCTGTTTTTTAACCCTTCCAATTCAAGCACATCCTAACTTTTCTTTTTTTTGACCGTATGATTTTTTTTTTACAACCAGAGCTGCCAGTGGTAACTAGCTGCAATGTAGATTCTCTGCTTGCGTTTGTTAATTTGTTTTCACAACACAATTGGTAGCTGTGGTGTATCACAGAAGAATTGCTTAGAACTTGTGCAATTGATATTTCATATTTGGTTTGGATCACTATTCTGAAGCCAGGGGAAGAAATCATAAGTTTGTGAGCTTACTGTGGTATGCATTGTTGATAGGAAATATTGCCCATGATAGTAATAATATTGTTCTTGCAATAAACTAGTTACCAAGACATGGGGTGTTGAGGATTTACCATATTTTCTCCTGGTTTATAGTCCTAGTTACCAAGACATAGGGTGTTGAGGATTTACCAAATTTTCTCCTGGTTTAGTTCCATTTGCCATGAAACATAGGGTGTTGAGGATTTACCAAATTTTCTTGAATTTAAGCTGACCTGAAATCAGGTATCAATTTTTTTGGTAAACACTGATTCAGTATTCTTCTTTAGAATTTCTTAGTTTTGTATGTATATCATAAACAAGTTTGAAATTCTTCATATTTGGTGTATGTTGGTGCTACATGTTGATTTTATATATCCTTGTAGAGAGCACTACAGATTACCAGTGATATTATTTTGCATTTGTTATGATGCCACAGTTTTACCATTTGAATTTTTGTTGTTCTTTCTTTCTGTTTGTTTATGCTGTAGTGGTTCATGGTTCTCTTTTGTCCATTTTTTAACTTGATAATAATGATATATTCCATCATTTAGTTTCTTAGCTTTGCTGTTTTATGTATCCAGGGTTCATCTCTCTTCTTGCTGGGCATAGCATTTATTTTTTCAATCTCTATAGTAATCCCTGTTTGTCTAATATTTCCAATGTAATTGCAGTAAGAGCTGCTATCTTTGGAATCTTATGGGTTCTCCTTGGAAAACGCGTGTGGTTCTTCCCCAATATAAATGCAGAGGAGACAACATTTAGAGAACTCGTTCGTTTTTGGCCTGAAAAGGATGAAGGAGAGCGGCCAAAGTGGACATCAAGACTTTTCTATGCTCTTGTTGCTCTATTGGTGATATTACTGCTTAGGCACCATGCTCCTGACGAAGCAGCTAGAGCCAGGTAATTTGTTTTCTGCGATCAGTATCTCCACCCTTGCTTTTATTTTTTGGAAGAACAGTGGCAGGAGCTCTGCTTTGCATTAAAGTAGGGAAAGAAAGAACACAATTTTTGTCCAATGGACTAGCGATGTCCCCAGAAAGTTAATGGGACAAACAAAGAAAGCACACACAGGATACAGTCAAAGGTCTAGGCCCACATTACATGTTTCGGGAAACACGCTGCAACTGCGAAATACGCTGCTACTGCTGTCTTCATTTGCGTGTAGTGCTACCATGAGTCGTGGAGCTTTCATTTTGGAACATTCACTGGTTACTTTCTTTCCAGAAATTCCACACAAAACAATATGATAGTCATCAAAATACTTGTTGCCGATTGCTCTATCTGCCTGGAAAAGTTCAATCCATTAGGTTTAATAACTACCAAAAATTAAAACTATGCCATTTACTTCAAAAATTGCTATAGGCCTTGTCCAATTTTTCAGCAAATCATATAGCTATCGACAAGATGGTGTTTCTCTTGCTACAATCTAATTTATGGATCTGTCACATGATTTTAGATGGTAACTCGTGCCGCGTGAGTATCCTTAACATGGTTAATGATGTTAGTGACCTCTGTAAATTGTCACCAGCAATGAAGTTCGATTGAATGTTCTGAATCGCTTTATTAACCTTTTCTCTCTCTCTCTCTCTCTCTTGTTAGGTACCAAAAGAAGGTTTCTAACATAATTGATGATGTTCTTGAATGGTCTCCGAAGTTAGCTATTTCTGGGATGATTGAAAAACACACTGGGGCTAACATTACAGAAGAAAGCAATTACACCAGCAGGGCTGCGAGTAGTCATGTGCCGCCTCCTTCCACCAAAGGCAAAGCTTCAGAAGCCGGCCCAGATATGGATGTTGATGGGGATACTGAGGCTAACTTAGATGAAACCCAAGATAATGAATATGCTGATGATACAAGATCAAACGAAGCTTAAAATCAGCTTGTAGCATTTTTTGAGTAATCTTTGTTATTGTTAATCTGCAGAATTATATAGATAGCTTACGGCTGACAAAAAAAAAAATTAGGGTGTCATGTTTTGATGTTACATCCATATATTGCCTGCAATGGTAAGGTCCCAAAGAATATTCTCATAGAGCGCGCCAAATCTTCGCTGTTTCTCTTCGTTCGTGTCCTATTGCCCTGATTTCTTTTCCTTTGACCGGTCACCCCTTCACGTACCGCGGCCGAGGGGGCGGCGAGTTTACCCCCCCACCTTTGATTCTCCTCCGTAGGTCGCCATCGAGAGGCCCTGATGAAGGTGGATGTCAGCGGCGCCTGCACTGCCAAATGCCCAACCCCAGATGCATGTTCAGCTTGGAGCGCTTGATTGAGGACTGGGGACTGGGGAGGGAATGCTAGGGATTGGGCCGCGGCCTCCTCCTCCAGCCCTCGTGACGCAGGCGACCGGTCCCGGCCATCCCGGCGCGGGCGGGGGCCCCGGCGACCCCGGCGCGGCCGTGACGGCTCCGGCCACCCCGGAGCCATCCCGGCGCGGGTGGGGGCCCCAGCGGCCGCGACGACCCCGGCGTAGACAGGGTGCGGGCGCGGCGGCCTCTCCGCTCCCTTCCTTACCCTCCTCGCCGACACTTGCGGGCGGCTTCCTGCGCTGTGCGCTGGGAGGCGAGGGCGGCAGCATCTCTGTTCGCCGTGGCGGGAACCAGGCCTTGAGCGCTGGGTGTTCGACCGACGGAATCCCGCGCAGGAGGGCTGTCCCCTGCAACTCATTCGTCAGGCTGGGCCAAGGTATTTGAGTTGCTCAGAGAAATGGCGAGGCACAACGATGGGGCTTATTAATGGTACATTCTTCAGAATGTAATTGAGGATGCGTTTGTTTTCTTCTCTGTTTAATCGTCATGCTTGAGCCTTGAGGTGCACGAGTGTGAAACGCTCGGGTCATGCATTGAGGTGTACTTCAGTAACCTGGATCTACACATCCCATAGAAAAATCCTCTTCACCCTGATCCATTCCTTAACAAGCTACAACTAGTAGAGTATATTCTTTTCTTCGTGACGATGAATCTGTACGATCAGTAGTTTGTTGTCAGGTTGTATAATTCATTGTAAACTGGTGGTCGAACAAAACGTTGACTAATGTGGATCCTAAAATGACTTTTAGTTTCGGGTTCGAAGAAAACAAGAGCACAGTTATGAACCTTTTTTAATCAAATAATTTAGGATCAATATTAATTTAAAAAAATTATAAAAGATGAAAATGAAAATATAAAATATATTATTTTTTCAGAATTTCCAGCAAGTTTTTAGTCGTTTGTGAATTTCCTTCTTGCTTACACTATGATGTATTACCAGTATGATTATATTATTTCCCTAATGCTCCTACTTGATTTGTTGATATTATATGCAGCAATTGATTGTTCAAAGTGTGATTAAACTATTGAACAAGCATGGTGATGGTATTTTCTTCTCTTTTTGTTCGTTCATGTGTTTGAAACGATTTTACATGATTAAATCATATTAGCAGCCTTATTTGCATTTGGGTGGCATTGTTCTGTATTGTACTATAGAGCACATTACTGCAACTTGTGTGAATTTCTTCATTAGTTAAAATCATCCATTTTGGGCTCAGCAAAATATATATAAGTAAGTTAAAATCATGTTCTAACAAAAATGTTTCCATAGAAACCTTATGTGATCTAATTATGTAAACCGATCTCTGAATTGTAGGAAGTTTTGCTGCCTGTACTCATTAGGTTGGCTTGGCATACCCTGTAAATCATTGTCAAGGTCAGAGGCCACGACCTTAGTAAGCCAAATGGCATCATCCATTGTGGCTTGACCCAAGGGGTTCAAGGACAGATCATTGGCACCCATTCTAGGGTGTGCTCCTGAGTGCAATATGAGGTTTATTATGGTTGAAATGCAGCCTCCATCAGACGAACACGATAGTTGAGGGGCCAAAAGTGTACTGTTTGTTTCAAGCTCCATTTCACCTTCAGTATTTGGTTCTTCTGACAAAGCAGGTTTAGCTTCATCACACAAAGAATCATTCAAATCTGAATGACTTCCAGCTAGGGTTGGCGTTTCATCTCTTAAACTGCCACAATGTGGCAACTGATCTGCACATATTGTAGATAATGATTCCCCACGTTTCTTTTAGCAGCATCACCGTGTGACACAAGCACTTTTTCCTGAACAGATCAGTCAATCAATCATATTTTTGACAAATGAACCCTCATAGGAAAATATAAAACAAAACACAAGTGCAAAACCAACAGACTCAAAGTTATAGAATAAGATATTACGAATCAAAAATACACCAAGAATAGTGCAAGAGTGAGCATGATAGGCCGTAGGGCGCATGGATTTACATATATTGATCCTCTAGGGACTATGTTTCCTATAGTGGTACAAGATTACAACAAATGAACAGATTGATATGAACTAATGTCCCAACAACTATATCTGGAGAGGGTAGAAAGGAAAGCAATTTTAGGTACCTAATAGGCTAATAATATAGAATATGTTGACAAATATGAAACAATTTTTCAGGTAACTTTCATATCATACTATGTGCTTGCACAATTAATCAACTATGCATAACTATGTAACATTCAATAATTAAATTTTGACGCAGTGCTATCAAAGGGGCTGGATAGACTAATTTGTGGGTGTGCTGGAATTTTTTTGCATTGGTCTCCTCAGCCACTTGCAGATAATACGTCGTGATCAGGCACATTAGTATTGGTCTACTCAGCCACTTGCGGCGTATTGCAATCACTCGGGTTTGTTATCGATGACGTTTCTCAATTCTCATCACAGGGTTTCAACGCCGGACAAATTCTGCATGGTTCTCAGTTTTGCACAGCAGGATGGAAAGATAAGGGGCCTGCGAACCTGGTGCGTGCTCATCACCGACGAAGACCTGGGCAGGCTCCAACCTCCCCGCGCCGCCATAGGATGGATCGAGGCCATGCGGCCTCCTCCGCGTCGCCCTAGGCCGGATGAGGGCAGCTGTGGGGTCATCGCCCCTGTGCACGCACGAGGGCAGCCGTCGCTGCTACGGACGGGGGTGAGGGCAGCCGCCGCCCCGCCCTGGGCTCTAGACCTCTCCTTCTCGAGGCTCGATCTGAAGTGCGAGGCTAGGGTTTGACACACCCAGGAAGCTGCTGCTGCGCTCGATACAAGGATGGGGAAAGAGGCGCTACTGTAAAAATTTTCCAATTAATCTAAGGCTACAGTAAAAATTAGATTTTCCAATTAATCTAAGTTTATAGTAAAAATTTTGTACTAAATCATACCGTATTATATATTCACTGTGTAGATCTACTCATGTGGAGTCCAATAAAATTAGATTTTTTATTTTATGATTTTTCAAAAATTCACCGAAAATAAAATAAAAATTCAAACCACAGACACTGTAGCAACCCACTGCACAGTAGCAAACCGATGTTACTGTAGCAAACCGCTGTTAAAAACCGCCTGGAAGTAAAATAGTCGGTTTTGAAAAGTTCAGAGGGGTAAAACAGACGGTTTCATAGTTGGAGGGTGAAGTAGACGAAAGATGGGGGTTAAGTAGACTTTTTCCTTTCTGGATATCCAAGGGAAAAGCACAGGTTAAACAGCTGATGATGTATTAGTATAACATCGTGGAGCTGCTAGACATGGGGTTATGTGGTCTGTCATAAGATGATGAAGGGCTGTGGCACTGATACAAGTTACGCAGCTGCGTGGTAAGCACACAGCGGACTATTCTTTGGCCTTGGGTGTTCTTAAAATAGAAGGGCCCCAAGAATATGACGTCAAATAAATTTGTTTTCAAAATTTATTGCCAGAATCTAAAAAAGAGTTAAACTGTTATTTGAAATTTAGTTTTTGGAGGGTGTTCTAATTTTTAAATAGAAGGGCCCAAACAATATGAATTCAATTTGTTTTTTAAAATTTGATGCCAAAATCTTAATAAGAGTTAAGTGTTATTTCAAATTTTGTTCAGTATCTGTCGTTTCATTTATACCTGTCTTGTATCAATGGCCCGTAACAGTGGCATCAGTACATAATAACATTTACTGAAACAACAAAAGCTCCTTCCATTGTGCAAAATTAGAAGATATACCGGCATAACATTGCCATGACAAATCTATAGTGGAATTGGCCACTAAATCTATCTCATTCTGTCGACATGAAGCAAGTAGTGGAATTGGCCACAGTAGAAAAGGTGGACATCCTCTGGTTAGAGGTCTGAGAGATGGGAGTAAACATAAATCTGGTAGAAGGCCATCTTCATCTTACAACAAACAGCCTTACTCGCTTAGTCCCTCTCGTGGATTATTTAGGTCTGAGAGATGGAGAGAAAAATATTGTTCATAAATCTGGTAGAAGGCCATCTTCATCTTACAACAAACTGAAACTGATTCACAGCCTGGGTGGAATGAATCTTGTACAGCAACCACTGTGGCCTCTAACTCTTCCCTGTCAGAAAAGACAACCTTCACAAAATCTGAGGACGCTATCACTGTCACAGCCCCGTCCTTAATCATCACACAACCACTACAGTAGGCATCTTCATCCTTCTTGTCAGCAATGATAACCACTGACTTTCTTGCTATCTTAGAAAAATTGTTGACGTCATGTCTGATATCCTTTCCTGCACAAAATTAGAATGGTTTAGTCAAAAAAGAAGAAGAAGAAGAAGACATTGTCAACCAAGTTACAGACCAGGTAACATGCTCCTAAAATTTGTTTGTTCGACATGGGTGAACCAGTGGTCAGGTTTATGGGATTTGTGCTCATCCGAAATGTGCGTCAAAATCAAACCAGACCAGGTACTACTTGATGGTTAAAACTGGAAGTAAGCGCAACTGCGCAGAGATCTTAAACAAAATTGCACGGGTGCTAATCCAATGACCAATGCTATGCTATCAACCTTTATAAACTTTATAAGAAATGATCATACTACCAAGTCCACTATTTCACTTTCTGCACTCACGCATACGGTGCTTTTACATTCCTTGACTTTCGTCCGGTTTTTCCATCAGGAATTGTTCATTTTCAACTGGATTTAGATAAAAGACAGGAAACTTCCACTTGAAAGAAGACGTAAACTAGTCGATCTTAAAATAAGCAGGGGTCAGTGAAGCTATGTTTTGCATAAACAAGGCTTACGGAAGACGTAAGTTGGCAACAAGTGATGGTTAGGTTGAGATCCAAAGTAAATATGACAAGACAGTGCCAGAAAACTACCGAGTTTCTGAGCATACAGAGAAATATGGGAGGCAATACAAAACCGAACGGACAAATTTGAATCTAAACACAACATTCAAAGAACAGCCACTGTAGCAACCATTGGACGATCTAAACTTCAAGAAAGGCAGCAGATTCTGTCAAGGGGAAAATCTACTCAAAACACATTATGATACTAAATTAAAATCCAATGCTGCATTATCAAGCTTTCACCAAAAATATCCCTGAAAGCATTCATGCTTCAGAACGACACAAAAAGAAAACAGGCGTGCAAAAATTGTACACAAGGAAACAGATTATGGGGCTTTGCCTAAACAGTTCGACAGTATCTAGTTTCTTCTAACAAAACTAGCTGCAAAACCAAGAAATCAACAGCAAGGCAAATATTAGCAGCAAGTAGCTCTATGTCTCAATAAACTAATCAGATAGCAGCTCCCTTCGCCATTAAAAGGAAATAAAAAAAACAACAGATAGCTCCAAACTATGCTATGTCTCTGGTTCTCAAAAACAGAGTGTACTGTTTTCAGTAGAACCTGCTAGCAGGACACAATACTTATAATATGTGAAACAAGCAACCAAACTCGAACCAGTACTCAGTAAATCCACAACCACAACCAAGCTGGACTGCTAGACTTAAGATAACCACAACATCAACGAGGCATTGTAGAATACTAGCAGCACTAAACCACATATAGATCAGACAACAGGCACATTCAACAAGAGATCATCACAATCACAATAACGATAGAATATTCTGGCAATAAAATGAAGCAATTGTTGGATAAATTCTCCATCTGCCGAACTTTATGAGCAGTGCATATCACCATCTTTACCCAGCATCGAATCGTACCACAAAACCATAACTAAGTAGATGCATCTGAAATTACTGAAGTAGTTCAATAGGCCACTAAGGCACTAACTAATTAGGGGAAAGAGACGATCCATTCACCGGGCGGCGTTAAGCCTGAGCAGCACTTGACGACGAATGCCAGGAGATGGGAGAAGACTGCGGCGACCCGGCAGCCCCAAGATCTAAAAAAAAGACGGTGTAAGGAGAGGTGAAGACAGACCTAGAAGGGCAGGGAGATGCGGTGCGCGGAGGTGCTGGCGCCGCGGTGGAACTCGATGCGACGAGGATACGCAGCGGAGGGGACGATGGAGGTGGAGATCCACGATAGCGGCGGCGGCGGTCCCGGTCTCGCTCGCGGCGGAGTCGGGGGGGAGAGGTCGCGGCAGTCTCTGTAGGCCGGGCTGTTTCAGACGAGCGAGGGCGAGGGCGAGGGCGAGGCAGCTGCCGCGGCGAGCTAGGGAGAGTGCAGGGCGGCCGCCGCGACGCCGTGCGAGGCCGCCGCCGGCGGCTAGAGCGAGGGAGAGAGCAGGGCGGCGGCGGCGGGTAGACCGCTTCGGCGGGGGTGGGGAGTGAGAGGGCCGTGCGTAATGACCGTGCTGCCCTTCTACGAATAAAATCAATAAAAATGATTATTTTGTGGAGGCGATGGAAGGCGGGAGGAAGCGATTCAACCATGGTAAAAGATCTTATAACAAATTTAAAGTCATAAATATGAATATTTATTCACTAAAAACTTAATCGGAACCATTTTTTTTACACCTCGTAACCTGTAGTTGCGTTCTCTGTGGAAGTACGAGATTCTCTTGGTATCTGGCGCTCATGAGAGCAAGGCTAATGGATACGCCTGCTCGCCAGCCGCAAGAAGCTCCACGTCATCCGAGCTGCCGAGCAGTGGTGGCGGACCCCACCGATCTTTAATACTTCGCTGCGACGTGGAAGAACTGGAGTGGGGAAGCGGCAGCCACAGTGCATTTCGCTCGCTTTTTACCGGCATCTCGCGAGTCGCCCGCTTTCTTCTCTCTCCTTCTTTCTCTCTCCCACGTCGGATTTCGCCAGCCGCTTCTAGGCCATGTTTAGTTGCCTCAAATTCCAGAATTTGGCACTATGCAAAAAGAAGATTCTCCGTCACATCAAACTTGCGGTACATGCATGAAGTACTAAATGTTGACGAAATCAAAAACTAATTGCATAATTTGGTTGTCCTTTGCGAGACGAACGTTTTAAGTCTAATTAGTCAACGATTGAACAATTATTACCAAATAAAAATAAATGCTAGGTGCGCAACCATGCCGCTACAGTACCTAGGATTCCGGCGGCGCTAATCCGGGGCCGAACTAAACGCGGCCCTAATACTTGCTCTGACTCGTCGCTGAACATCGACGTACGGGTAGGATGGAACGCAGCATCGGACGGCCCACCAGCAATCCAGCATACTGTCACAGGCGCAGCCGTGATTTCGCCAGTAGCCATACCTGTACCCGTAAGACGGTGGCGGCACCATCTCGTGCTCGTGCACGGCTGCAGTAGTCACCGTGCAGACTGGAACGCCAATCGCAGTACAATTTCCTCAGTCGCTGTGGTGTTCTCATGGCCCATCTTGTCAGGGACGCCTTGGGCAGAGCCTTTTCTCTTGAAGGTGGTTTAGTTGGCGATTTTTTTTAAAAGGGTAATATAGCACTTCCGTTATTTGGTAATTAGTGTCCAATCATAGTCTAATTAGATTTAAAAGATTCGTCTCGTGAATTTCGTCTAAACTGTGTAATTAGTTTTATTTTTTATTTATATTTAATGCTTCATGCATGTGTCCAAAGATTCGATGTGATGGAGAATCTTGAAAAATTTTGCAAAATTTTGGGAATTAAACATGCTCTTGTTCTCATCGTTTTCGCTGTCTTCCGTTTTTGTTGCAGTTTTGCTGTGATGTGATGCAGCGCTAAGCATTGGAGTGTCAGCGCTATCACCTGTCAGAGGCTTCATCTACTGCTCCATGGCTTCAGCCCATTTAGCTGAACAGTGAACAAGAAGCCTTTCCAATCTCTTGCATGCTGCTGCAACTGCCGGCAGCGTGCGTGTATCAGCAGCCAGCAGCCAGCAGCCAGCAGCGGGTAAGGGTACTGCGCGATCTGCTCTTGTCTCGTGCGTCCCTCCCGTGTGACCTGCACGCATGTACGGAGTAGGAGTATGCGTACTGCTAATGCATTTGAGTTTCGGCAGACTCTAGGATAAACTAGGGCCTAAATAAAAAAAAGTCTTTTATTTAGGCCCTATTCTGTTATTAGGGAATGATAACCAAGGCGTACCTTTGATTCTCCGTAGCCCGTAGGTCGCCATCGAAAGGCCCTGATGAAGGTGGTTGTACGCGGCGCCTGCATTGCCAAATGGCCGCCCCGTGGCCTCCTCCTGCAGTCCTGCCCTCCTGACGCCGCCGCCCCCAGAGCTCAGATGCATCTTCAGCTTGGAGCACCGTCGTCACCCTCCTCACATGCATGTTCAGCTTAGAGTCCTGGATTGAGTACTAGGGACTAGGGAGGGAATGCTAGCCTCCTCGATCGAGCCCTCCTGACGCCGGCGACCTCCTATAATTTTTTAGTACACATAGTTTTTTTCAAGTACATTGTATATACACAATTTCTTTATAAAAATAATGATTATTCAGCTGAATACCCTTGAATTGAGGTGGTGTTTAAATCTATCGGCTAAAGTTTATAGTGTCACATCGGGTGTCATATGTGAGTGTTCGGATAGAAGTCCTCATGAATCCGCGAGATGAATTTATTAAGCCTAATTAATCCGTTATTAGCATATGTTACTGCAGCTTATTGTACCACCGCATTGTCAAAACATGGTCTAATTAGACTTAAAAAATTCGTCTCGCGAAGTAGTCACAATCTATGTAATTAATTATTATTTTTAATCTATATTTAATATTCTACGCATTTGTCCGATATGGACTCAACTTTAGGGGAGGACTAAACAAGACCTCGTGAATTGGACCTGCCACTGCTATTTGTCGTGCTTGTGAACCAGTCAGTACATCATATATACACAAAAAAAAGTAATATACAAGGATTCATTGATTGGGATTTGCAATCCATCTCTATCTGTCCCCAAGACCTGTCCACATGCCTCAAAACGTCAGCAGCTAACAACAAGAAGCTGCATCAATATCATGCGTGGTTTTATTTTCCACAGGCCTCCGATGGTGTCTACACAAAACTGACTGCACCCCAAAGGAAACCAGGTTCATTTACATGATGTTAGCATACTCCTCTTCTCCGTCTTCGCGTAATGGTCTTTGTGCTCGCATCGAACTTACCTCCTCTCTCCGCTGTCAATGGATCCAGTCTCTAGTGTTAGTTGATGTCTGCGCACAAACACACTTATGTACACCTCCTCTTCACTTGTCAACCATGGTCACCAGTAGTTAGTGGTCACTTCTTTCTCCGCTCTTGTTCTTCAAGCTTATTCCTAAGACCTTTTAGTGCGTGTACTACTTTTGGATTCAGCTTGTGCTGCAGGAGTTTTCCTTGCAACGACGTGGACCTGTCAATTTTAGATTCATATAGAATGGATCAGAACGAAATTGTGCAGGCATTTTTGCAACTCCACAGGTGGATAGGTGAAGTTGTCTCTTTGATGCACAGAGCAAATCTTTGCAAAGATGTAACTTAAGACCTGGTTTCCTTCAGCTCTAGATCGAGTTCCTTTTCCGATTCTTTTATCTGCAGAGCCACAAGAAAATATTCTGTTATTATAATGTTTGACAAATTTGAATCCATGAAATGCAAACAAATTCAGGACTAACCTCTTTGACCAATCTTTTAGAGCTCCAGATAAGAGCACCCTACAAAATATACAATACAAACTACTTTAAATCATCACGAATGCAACATGTGAATATGTGGTGAAAAAGAAAGTAGCAACAAACACCATTTTGTATGCTATAAGTATAAACTTTCAACTGCTCTCCATCATTCATCTTGTTCTGGATGATAATTTCCTCACAAATGTAAGCATAGTTACCATATTGCATATATTCAGATGAATAGATCATCATCCGTTGATCCCTATCATTTCCTATTCCTTTCTATGTTCTGAAGTATAACAACCAGATTCATGTTTCCAAGAAAAGAACCAGCGAACATTTCTGGCAAAATTTATTCCATGACACTATCATAAAATTTGTGGCAGAACTTAATAACAAAAGTACAATATTTTTTTTGCGAGAAAAATACTGAAAAAATGTCTATTGCCTGGTAGAGATAAATAAAGCAGCTTATCCTAGAAAGGAAGAAAACATACTTCTCCATGCGCTAATTGTTGCTCCAGTGCATCGGATGTCACTACCCACACTTTCGGGCAGCCATCTGCCACCAAAGCTTCGACCTGCATAGGTGAAAGAACCAGCAAAACACTCAGTACCTACATACTATGTATTTCATCTATGTTCAGATATGAACTCATTTCAAGAGCATTTGCTCCAAAAATCATGTGCCCACGTCCAGAGAAATATTGTAGTGCCAAAATTAACATTATAGTAAATGCCTCTTGATGAAATGGGAACAAACTGCATTACATTGGAGCAGCAAAATGCTCCTATATATTGTACTTCTATTGCAAATCCCTTTCTGTAGAATCTCTAAAGATTCAAACAGTTGGTTATGACACAGCTAGGATTAAGATGTACTGGCCTCCCTGCATGCTGTAACTGGCTCAATTACTTTTCTTTTTTTTAGGGGGATGGGGGGGTCATGTATCTTCTTCATACAATAGGGCACTTTTGCCATAGACTGGTGAGTTTTTTAGAGTTCCAGGGAGAACCCCTGGCCCATTAGCATTGCTACCAGGACCAAATTCAGGTTCAAATGTTTACGGCATCAACCATCTGTCCCAAGAACAGAGCACAAACATGGCTCATGAGCCTTCAGTTCAGATATAAGGAAAAGGAAACTACCACCTCCAATGACCACTCAAGGACTACAGAAACAGCACTGGACTGCACCAAAAACATAGCCCAGATAACAAATTCGATCATCAACCATACACTGGTGAGTAGCGTCATAATTCTATACAAGGAACTCTAGCCAATGCTTCTGATGTGCAATTCCAACATGTACCTCCTTCTCAATCCAAGAATCAGCAGATAAGTCGGCAGAATATACAACATCGACCCTGTTCGATGAGGCAAAATCTGTATGTTAGGTTTTCTCTAATAACTGCCTGTAAAGACCTAACAGAAATATTGAACTTCCACTTATTTTATTAGTCAGATCTCTTTGCCCTGAAAAGGGTGGTGGTGGTGGGGGGTGGGGAGACCTATCACCGAAAGTCAATTTATAGCTTCTTACCCTTTATATGTTTCCTTATGTGTGGAAAGCCCTGAATTGGCAGCATCAAATACCACTACAACTTTTACCTCTGCAATATAATTGGGACAAATGATATAAAAGCCGCCATAAGATTGTACATGGCTATCAAGGAAATTAAAAATTGCTGAGAAAATGAAGGGGAAATGGTATTGTTGTCAGGTAAAGAAAACCTGATTGAGTTATGTTCCACACTTGATTAGTCACATTCATCTGTAAGCTGTGACTAAATTTACTATAAATCATAGTACACTAAGTAGTTCAACTTCGTATCAGCTTTAAGTTATTGCTGAAGTAGGCAGCATGATTGGGACCCTTTTTCTTTTGAGAAACCACAACTGAGACATTTTCACTATTATAACTGGTTTAATCCTTTAGAGCAGACCTCTTACTGCACTGAAAGATACCAGTTCATCAATGAGCGTTTGTCTAGCAATTTCTTGTCTCCCATTCATGAAATCCTTCTTAAGCTTTCCCCAGTAGCCACATACATTGTAGCCATCCACAAGAATAACTGGTGAAGCAATTTCCAAACCCTCATTTGTCCTATATTAAATGAAAAGGCAAAGTCAGCAACTCAGAATGACCAATTTGAATCGCCACTAATTTTAAGAGAATTGGATTTGAAAGGAAGGGCAAGCCTGACAAGTGAAGAGTGGAAGAAGGGTCCTCGTAGAAGTCTGTGTCATCAGGAAGCACTTCTTTTATTACTTTCTTTTTGCGGTACCTAGTAGCAGGCTGAGGTCCACTTGTTTGCCTCCTTTCAAATTCCTGAGAACAAAGGTTTAGGTAATTGTAACAACTAATGTGTTTTACTCTGAAAATGACGCACCGCATAACAAAGTAGAACTACTGTGAGTCCCAATGTTGGAGCTCGGGTTATGGCGTAGGTTGTAGGGAAAGGAGGTGGCTGGCCGAGGTCTGAATCCCCGGCGGCGAGGCTGCGACGCCGTGCTGGCGCCCGGCGTCGAGAGTGAGAGAGACACGGAAGCGGGAGAGATTGATCTCAATCTAATCTTATTATTTCCCAACTAATGAGTACATATAGTTCAAACGATTAACACTCAACCACTCACACTGAACTGACAAAAGCTAAACATAGAAAGGCTATTCCTGTGGGCGATCCATGGTGACCGAGCATGGCGAGTAGTGGTGACCACACCTGCTGGCTTGGTCTCAGCTGATCGCGAGAGCTGGCATGCGCATTGGCTGGCATGCAGCGCGCCTAACCACGAGTGTGCTTCCTCCTTTCGTACACTTGACCCACCATAACACCCAAACATTTCTAACTACAAAAGCATTACATGCATCTGATAATCTGACCCCATGCCGGTCTTTTTTCTTTCTCGAAAACGCAGGAGAGCTGCGCATCATTATATTAAGAAGATAATAAAATGGGATAAGAACCCATACAACACACGCACACAAAACCACACACAACTCTACACACACACTCCACTGCTGCTGCTGCTGTAAAGTTAACCTTGCATGCACTCAATGCATTTTTTGAAACAAGAATAAATGAACGCATCAAAGAAACACTTGATGCAGTTACAAACTTACAATATGCGAATGCAGAAAATTTATAAGGTGTTTAGCATGACATGAATTTAAGCACCGGAGGCAGATAGGCAATGGCAATGTTGGAATGGAAGTTTTAAAACTGAATGCAGGAAAAGTTACCTTCCAAAATTTTAGAATGCTCAAGTTCTGCTTAACATTAGATGTAATCCTAGGAGGCCGCGTCACCTACAAATAAGAGACATCTTTGTTAGGATGCTCCAACCGTACTGCTGATCTGTCTCAAATTGCAGAAATCCCACCTCCTAGGTTCAAGATAAGTGAGCCCAGTGGAAAATAGTCAGCTTTAGCATAAACATGAATCTTTTCAATTTGATCTTAGGTGTGATGACATTGACAAGCTAGTTCTCTAGTACTATGATGCAATAGACGAACTTGCTAGGCCTTGAATTTCCAAAAATCCTGGATTCTGATGGAAGATAGACACTAGAGTAGTTAAAAATAATCCATTTTGAAGATTTGCAGTTTCTCCATGGATCACATATACTGAAAATCTTAGTCAACTTTGGCCTCATTATTTGTAACTACTTGTCTGAAGTTGTTATGCTAGAAGTTCTAAAATATGTAATACAGTCATACAGATATTGAATGCATGCTGACATATATATACCAGGTTTTTGGACTGCTCAAAATGTTCAGACCCCACAGTTTGACTGAAGTAAGAGATCTACTTTCGATGGGCTTAGATTGTGTCGTCATTCTATTTCAGATATATTGAACAAAAAATAGAAGAAAAGTATATGGTGCAGGCAGTACATATGGCAACTTTGGGTTTGCAATCTGCAAGAAGTAGGATTTTTTTATAAGGTGCAAGAACTAGGTTGGGGTAGCTTTGCAAAATCATTCATAATAGTATCCTGGAAACTTGCTGAAATCTGTTTATTGCTGCAGGACCGAAGTGCTGCCGCTACCTTTCACAAAACACAGTTAAGCAGAGAAGGATGCTCCAACAGTCCAACTGTACTCCTGATCTGTCATAAATTGCAGAATTCCTATCTCCTAGGTTCAAGATAAGTGATCCCAATGTGTTCATAATCCTAAAATGCAATGCCTTAATAACTGTTGTGATGGTATCCCATTAACATTCATTTTTCCTGGAAGATCTATTCTTAATAGCAGGAAGCCAGGAACCAATATACTCTCTATCTTTTTCCCCCTGACTATTCAATTGATTGAACCTTATACACCCATCAAATTTCCTTTCTTTCTTTTTCATCTCGTTTTCCATGTTCCCACTTCCAGTAAGAAGCAACAAAAATCCTGCCCGCGAACACCGTCTTCCCTGCATTGCTCCATCCCGGGCGACTATCCCGCCCAAATCCGAGGCCACGGAATCGGAATTCAGTAGGAAGGGGACTGGGCCGAGCGGAGCCTGACCTTGTTGGTGCCCGCGGAGCCGCCGCCTCTGACGCCCTTGCTGTTGCCGTTGCCCTTGGCCATCGCCACCACGGTGGTAGCGGACGCGGAGTACGTGGCCGAGCTCGCCATCCGTGTTCGCCGGCCACGCTTGCCCCTGCCCTGCCCTGCCCTCCCTCTACGCTACGAGAGCACTTGTGGTGGAGACTGAACTGCAGCTTCGCGGGCAGGAAGCGAGACAGCGAGAGTGTGAGAGGTGCGGCCGTGCGGGCAGGTCCGCCGCCGCCACTAGAACGGTGGTCCGTCACTCCTGCGCCGAGGGCGTATTCCCAGAAAACCGCCTCCGTGCCCAGACCTGCTAAAAATGGAAACAACGCCAAAACCTTTGCTGTTATTTTTGTTTGAAAAATATAAGTGAAAATTACAAATACAAGTATTGGCCGAGTTAGAGTAGAAAAATATTTCAAATTTTTTGGTGGTGCCAATTTAGGGGGTGTTTGAATTTCAGCCACACTTCATCACATCACCATTGTGGCCCGCCATAGTTTCCTACGCTGGTGTTTGGTTGACACGAAAGCTCATGCTGCCATAAAAGCTTCAGACTCATTTCCTGCCACAGATTTCTCCACTACGGCTGCGGCAGTGCCACAACTTGCCCGAACGTAATTATGGCAGAGTGTGACGTATAACCAAAGCAGGCCCTACTCTGTGAAGACACAAACTATTATGCTCGCATATCTAGACATCTGAACTTATTACGTGGTTCGCTCAAGGTTCAAAGCTTGTTGATCATCTATTTGCTTAGCATCTGCTCTCTATTCAAAACTGTAAGTCATTTTTTTTATATACATAGATTTTACTACACGTCTAAATATAACGTACATGTAGGTGTATAATAACAATTTAGAAATATCAGAATAATTTATAATTTAGAACGAAGAAAGCACGTGACGTCTGTTAATTCATGCCACTGAATTGTATCATTTTTGGGTTGCACGCGGTAACCAATGAAAAAATGTAACACATCCATATAGCCACGAGAATCATATGCTAGTTATTTGGACCTCCAGTACGTGATATAGTAATTAACAAGTTAGGACCTATATGTTGCAAATTGATAATTTGAGGACTTAGGCCCCGGTTTGATAGGACTTTTCTAGCGGCTTTAGGAGCCGCTTGGAGCCGTTTTCTGTCAAACGGGGTAAAATAAAACGGCTCCACCGATGAAGCCCCTAAAAACGTGTTCTCACAGAGCTTTGGGATGAGAAGGAGCAAAAAATAGTGGCTTCTCTCGGTTTTACCTCATTCTACATGGCGTTCTCTGAGAGCATATTTTAAGAAAAACTATATGTGAAACTGTTTTGCCAAACGATTTATCAAAACGGCTACAACTCCACCCATAAAACTGTTCATGGAGCTGAAACCCCTAAAAATAGCTTTATGGGTGAAATGGAGTCGTGCCAAACGGGACCTTCGATAGCACCATCAAACTCAAGTTCAGTGACCACTCATCATGAACGTCGTTATAAGTCGTCCTACGATGATCCAATCGTGAGGGAAATTCCGTTGACTTTTCTCAGTGCATGAGTGATAGATAGCTCTGCCGATTTTTTGTGCGCGTTTCAGTGGACACGTAGAGCCGGCCAACTCGCATTGGGTGGCTCTGGTCGAAACCGTGTCCGTTGAACTCTTCTCTTCTCTTCTCAGCTTCCATTGGTGTGTCCTTCCTAAACAAGTAAACAGCATTTGTTCTTGTTCATGAGATGATGTCAGGGAGTTTCCGAGCTGCAACAACCTGCAATCATACAACGCCCGGGGCAAGAGAGGTTTGTTTGGGGTCAGATCATAATTGAGCCGAGGATTAAGCTTATAGATGATGATGACTATCACCCTGTTCCCTTGATCGTTTGTGTGGCTTATAAGCCGGCTGATGTTGTTTTGTTGTGAGAGAAAAACACTGTATCATGGCTGATAAGCATGGCAAACAGAGCCTAAATAAAGCTTGTTTGGATCTCATGAATAAACCAATATTTTCACATTTCATTGTTAGATTACTTTCCAATTCCTCTAAATTCCTAATAACCAATAAGAGCCTAAGATAGTGTTTGGATGTAGATATTGGGATCATGGATTTGGCTTTGGCATTGGCTACCATGTAATCCCATTGTTTGGATGGTTCTGGAATTGGTCGGAGGAATTGACATCCAATATCGCGCACCTCTCCCGCACGAAGGAAAGACCCGACTCGAAAAAAAGAAGCGCGAGCGAGCAAGCGACTCCAAAGAGAGGCGGCGGCGATGGCGGAGGCGACGGGAGGTTGATCCCACTGCGGATGCACTATCTGCCGGCGAGCTCTCCCTCGCGCCCTCATTCTCGTACATCTTCGACCAACTCCGTCGTTATCCCTCCCTGCAGGTCCGTCTTCTTGCTAGTCTCATCTACTTCCCCCTTCCTGCTCAAATCCTCCTCCTTTGATCTGCGCCTACCCTCACCGATTCATCCTTGCTCCTTTTCCCAATTCCCTTTCGGCATCTATCGAGGCCTTCTTTCCTTCTCCCTCCATCGATTCACTCTTTCGAAACCCTAACACCTTTTCTCTGTATTTTGCAGGTTACTTCTGTCAAGTGTTCGTTGTTCTTCGGTTCGATTGAAGGTATGTACCGCCTAGATTGATGTGTTGTTGGTGTTTCTGAATGATTTTTTATTTCATGTCTTGCTCTTTAAAAATTATGTGTGTGGCTGTGTGCATTGTAGCTGCACTATGTCAGATCTTGAGTTGGTTTCCTTCATTAATAAAGAAAATAGAAGGAGAAAGAGGAGGAGGATTATTTTCACATAACTATACTTTGAGGTAGTTGTTCTTGGGCTTGCATATCTTAGTTTGCAGCGGGGGCCAAGGGATTTATGGTGCTTTAATGGTGATGAGACATACTCTTAGGAAGTATTTGTTGAAGAAAATGTATAATGGTTATGAAGTTACATGCTATGATGAGCTATGTTTAACTAAAAGAAACTTTCATGACTTGTGCATCACGTTGCATGAAAGGTGTGGTCTTCATGAGAGTGTTTATGTCGCTGTGGAAGAAAAGGTTGCTATGTTCTTGCCGGTAGTTGGGCATGGTCTAAAAATGAGGTTGTTACGTGGCACTTTATAAGCGCTGTTATGTAATATCGAACTGCCTATGTACGCATGCTGTTATGACCCCTTTTAAATTAGGTGTTCTGAAATGTCGTGGTACTTGTAAGAGTTGGAATATTGATCAAGTATTGACTCTATAATAGATGCTTGTGATCAACATTTATGTGCTGCTGTCATCGATTATTTTCAAAGTTTTTAATGATATTATTTTAGTTTCTACTATTTTTTCTGAATATTTTCATGTTTTTTTGTGTAAAGTGATAATATAATCATCCAATAAATATGCAAGTTGTGAAATACATATTACAGTGCATTTACATCATTGTAGACAACCCAGACTACAATTCAGAGTTTGTACATCAAAAAGGAATTGGAATTGGTTGATTCCAGCAATCAACTACTTGCACATCCAAATAATAGCATTGGTATTTCAGGTCATTTCCAATTCCCCTCAGCTTTGGTATTTTGGGCCAATTCAATTTCTCAGGAGTGAGATTTGTAAGCACTCAAATTGTTTCGTTTGTCATTTTTTAAGAGCGATCCTAATATTCAGCCATTGATTGCTAACAAAAAAAATACTACTCTACATGCTAATAGTAGGCAAAAGAATCACGATTAAAAAAATTCAAATCACCACAATATTACTCTACATGATAATAGCAGGCAAAAGAATCACGATTAAAAAAATTCAAATCACCACAATATACTCCATTTGGGAATACAATTATTCATGGCTTTTCTATTAGGAACGCTATGGTAGGCATTTTTTTTTTTTGACACGAGACAAGAAAAAGAGAAGTGAGGTGGCCCAAGGTGCACGCGTGGTGTGGCCGTACCATTTGCTCGTACGCACTTGGTCTCCTCCACTCCGGCTTGGGTCTTCCGTTCTAAGGCGAAATCCACAGCCGGCGGACATCCCACAGGCCAGGCAGCAAGCAAGCCGCCAAAGCAACAAGAACAGGCGGGATCGGAGGCGCCAGCAGAGAAAACAACACCGAGTGGCGGCGAAGCCTGCGAGGAAGAAGCTAGGGAGCAGCAGCAGCAGGCAGCGAGACAACGAGGCGCGCGACGAGGCAGCCAGCAGCGGCAGAGTCACGCAAGCCGATCGATCGACTACACCCACGTCGGAGGGAACACGGGGGGCGGAGGTCCCGAGGGGAGAGGCGATGTCGGGGCGTCGGGCGGCGACGTGGGAGCAGGCCGCCGACGACTACGACTACCTGTTCAAGGTGGTGCTGGTGGGCGACTCCGGCGTGGGCAAGTCCAACCTCCTCTCCCGCTTCACCCGCAACACCTTCTCCCTCGACTCCAAGTCCACCATCGGCGTCGAGTTCGCCACCCGCACCATCCAGGTACGCCCGTACCGTGATGCTGCATGCATCCTCTATCCACCACCACCACCGCTTCTCGCTTGACCGGCCGGCTGGCCATGACTGCCTCTGCCTGCTCTGCTCAACTCTACTCTCATCGATCGATCATGATCACAGGTGGACGGGAAGACGATCAAGGCGCAGATCTGGGACACGGCGGGGCAGGAGCGGTACCGCGCCATCACCAGCGCCTACTACCGCGGCGCGGTGGGGGCGCTGCTGGTGTACGACGTGACCAAGGCGGCCACGTTCGAGAACGCGGCGCGGTGGCTCCGTGAGCTCCGGGACCACGCGGACGGCCGCGGCGCCGCCGTCATGCTCGTCGGCAACAAGACCGACCTGGCGAAGCAGCGCGGCCTCCGCGCCGTGCCGCGCGGGGACGCCGCCGCGCTCGCGGAGCGGGAGGGCCTCTCGTTCGTCGAGACCTCCGCGCTCGACGCCACCAACGTCGACGCCGCGTTCGAGACCCTGCTCACGGAGATCTACCGCGCCGTCAGCAGGAAGGCGCTGGCCGCCGCGGCGGCGGCCGCGGATGACGAGGCGAGAGCCGTCGGGGAGGGGCAGGCGATTCAGGTGTCGTCGGCCGGCGACTCCGGCGGCCTCACGGCGCGGTGCTGCGCGTT